TACCGAAAATAATTACATATTTCGCATTGTTTTGCTAGCAGTAACTTACAATATTCTCTACTCCAACTGTTTGAACAGAACTGCTCACATAAAACACACGAAATGTGTGTCATCGAGTAAGAATTGGATGGGGAGATTCACATCGCGACATGCTTCTGTGCAAGCAGACACGTAACGGGGACGGGTACCTTGACGGGAGGTGCGTCAGACTACTGAGCATGTCAGATTAAAAAACGTCGGACTATAGAGGGACAACTGTATTATCAATCAGTTATTATATATCATCATTTTAAGAAATCCCAAAGTGATTACACTAAGTGAATCATACTGTATATAATAAACATGTTCTCATGTTAGAATTTAAATAAATATAATTTTAACTTTCGTACACTTACATTGCCAATAATAGTTCCAGGAAGTTCAAGCTCTGTAGCATGAAAATTATATATGCTTTCAGGAACAAACTGTGGATTATTATCATTGGCATCTAATAAATGTATTTCTACTGTTGTTGTGCTTTTCTTAGCTTCTGGATTAACATTTGGTTTTTTCTCAACAGCCAAAACCTAAATTGTTAGGAAATATTTATTGGATTAATTTTACTTTATTATTTGAAAATTTGATACATTGTTTAAAACATATTTTAAGAAGAAAAGTTGGATAAGTAACATTCATATATTATCAATAAAAAACATAAAAGTAAATAAATATAAAGAAACAGAACTCAAACTGTTCATGGACTGTTGAGTTCTCATTTAATTTTTACTGATAACAGATATGTAAACACTTAAAGATATCTCTATTATTGGAGAATAAGTTACTTATCTTACTTTGACTTTTATCCTTCATTTTAAATAGCATGTATATAAAATTACCTCTGAACCAACTAAAGTATAATTTTCAATTTTTCCATTATTTCCACTGTCAATGTCTTTCACTTTATAAAATCCAGGAAGTTGTGTACCAATAGGTAAATTCTCAGGCAATTCCAATACGTATTTTTCTAAAAATGCGATAAATAATTAAGAAATAATATAAACATTTATATTAAACACAAAAAAATGTTATACCTTCATCAAATGTAGGTGCATTGTCATTTATATCTTCAACAAATATAGTTACTGGAACTGTTGTGTTAAATTGATTTCTTGATAGGAGATCTCTTGCAAAAATCTATAACATCATAGATTATTAACAATAATATTTTTTAATTCTTTTTATAATTTACATCAAAGTAAAATATATTTTATCAACTATACTCTTTGCAGGATAAAAAATAAAGCTGCATTACTCACAAAATATATCCCTCTGCCATTAAATCAATTTATTCAGGCCAAACTATTTTTGTTTTGTATAGATACTAGCCTGGCAGAACTGATTACTCAAAGCTGTTACCTTTTACCTTAGTTCTACTATACAGTAGAGCCTCGAAAACTCGGCCTAATGTGGACCGAAGGGGGGCCAAGTTTGTGAAAATGCCGGGTTATCGGGAATGGGTTAAAAAAGGATAAGTATGCATGTTTCCTCAGAAAATATTGTACTGTACTTGTATGTATTGTTTGCTTGAGAATACAACAGAGAATAAACTGCCCAAATACCCTTAAACAAAGGAAAAGTACGTCCTTTATGAAGGCATAGAGCCTTTACTACATGAAAATGAAAATTAATGAATACACTGTGTACAGTAATTTACCTGATAAGACAGACCTCAGAAAAATAGTTTATGAGGCATAAAGCTGTCTATAATGAAAATTAATTAACTAAGGATTTTTTTGCCCTGACAAGGTGTGGCCGAGTTATCCGGAGTGCCGGGTATCGAGTGCCGAGTTTTTGAGGCTCTACTGTACCACATTCTTCTTGAGGCATAAACAAGCTTTTAATTAAGTTAAATATATAATTTTACAACACTAAACAGAAAGAAAACAGATTAAACTTAACATCAAACATTCTAACAGAATTCTCAAAATCAAATACATATATTTAAATTTGGCATTTCTAGGCAATTTCTTTTGTCTACTTAAAAACAAGAATATTAAAATATACTCCATTTACATAAAACAAACTTAGCTTAAAATCATCATGACACATTTTTCCATCATAAAAAATACAAAATAAAAATGGCAGACAATAGACAAAATAATGTTTATGACAAACATTAAGTGAAAAATGTAATCATAATTTGCATCAGCATTCACTACTATATTTTACTATAGACACATATCCTCTCTTGACAGATACATACTGGCTTTGTTTTTATCCTGCACATATTATAGTAATATTATAAAATTCAAAAATAAAAATAATTCACATACCCTTAATTTGAAAAACTCTTGATTTTCAGGAGGATCTCTATCTACTCTATCCATCAGAATTAGTTCTCCACTACTTGGATTAATCCAAAATTTTCCTTCAGAGTTTCCTTCACCAATCCAATAAGTTATATCTTGGTCTAATGGTTCTCTATGGGGATTACTAGCATTTACATAACCCACAGTGACACTTCTTGTTGTATTTTCTTTAATTTTATATTCATAACTTGGTTTTAAAAACACAACTAATTCATCATTAACATCCTAGAAAAGTTTATACAAAAATTATCTTTTAATCTTTGAATTTAAAACTATTATTTAAAAAAAAAAAACTTGTATTGGCATTTACACATATTTTCTATTCAACATAATAACACAGTATAAAATATGTAAAATGTAATAAATTACAATATTTTTAATCTGTTTTAAGAGTACAAAATTTTACAGATATCTAACTTTTTGTATTTTTATAAAAATTAGAAAATACACAACAAAAAATTTATTTTATACTCTATATAATTTACATATAAGTTAATATAAGCTGTAATGCTAAATCATATATGAAAGAAAAAGTTAAAATATGTTAATAATGTGTTTTATACACATGGAATACTTTCTAGTAATATTGAAATTGAAAACTAACCTGAACTTTAATGATTAGTCTAACGAAAGGATTTGCCAGTTTTGAAGCTTTTGGCCCTTGAAACGGCAGTACATTCCGAGCAGCTATATGTAGTGCATATTCAGTCTGTCTTTCAAAATTTAATTTTTCTACTGAAAAGACTACACCAGTATCTTCATCAATATCAAACAACTTTTCTTCATTTCCACCCACAATATTGTACTTGATTATAGCATTAGAACCATCATCTCGATCATATGCCTATGAATAAATATACAAACATAGTTAATATTATTAAACACGATTTACATAAGAAACTTTATTAATTAACATAATATTTTACATCATT